TTAAAAATCGCGATTGTCGCCCTTGAATTCTTGTCCGTTACGTCATATGGAAGGAGGCGCAGAACTGACGTGTGGCTTTCCCACTGAGATGCTTCATACCTTGTATACCATGTATACAGATTCCTTATGCTTCAAAGTAACTGTCTGTCATATGTCCATTGTCCTTGGTCTCATTTTCGTATTTCAGTGACTGTTTGAAAAAAAGAATACAGTTTCTGGCAAGTGAAATACTCTTGCACTTAATATTATGAGTAATAGACTATATTTGGTTTATTGGTTTCTTGCAACGTCTACATGTCCATCAGGTAGGGTTCACCTGATATCTACCTAATTTCAGTGATCAGCGAATAAGGTTTAAGTTACATGAACCTGGCAAAGTCCATATCTCAGATACTAGATAACTAGAAGCATTAGGTCAACAATACACCTTATCGCTATTTGTCCGCCATTACTGGACATCACAAAAGTTCCCGTAAAATTTTGACGTCATAATAGAAAATATCTGACGCCACAATGGAAAAGTGATTGTTGTATGACGTCAAAAGTTCAAGCGGGACAGATTCTCGGGTCAAGCGGGAATAGCGATAAGGTGTATATATGGTGTATGGAATGATTGTAAGGTGTACATGTCCGACTGGTAGGGTTCATCTAACCTTGACCTCAATTTTATGGTTCATTGGACAATGCTTAGTTTTTGTGGTTTGGTCTATTTCTCAGGTTCTATAAGGAATATGGCCACTATATTTGGTGTATGGAATGATTGTAATGTGTACATGTCTGTCTGGCAGGTTTCATCTGACCTTGACCTGTTTTTCTTGGTTCATTGGACAATGTTTCGTTTTTGTGGTTTGGTCCATTTCTCAAGATTTTATATGTTACCAGGTTACAGGTCAAGTATATTTGGTGTATGGAATGATTGTAAGATGTAAATGTCTGTCGGGCAGGGTTCATATGACCTTAACCTTATTTGCATGGTTCATTGGTCAATGCTAAGAGTTTGTGGTTTGATGTGTTTCTGAGGTATTTTTAGTGATAGGACCACTCTATTTGGTGTATGAAATGATTGTAAGGTGAACATGTCTGTCTGCATGGCTCTGACATCTGACCGTGACCTCATCCTCATAGAACAATGATAATGTTAAGTTTATATGATACTTGTAGTGAAACCTTCATATTACAGACTTTCAACATGAATTCAATGAAAAGTTTAACAGTCAAGACAGTTAAGCCTGTGCACTCTTGTTACAAATTAAAATAGAACATGAGCTCCTTAGAGCTCTTTAACTGACTGCCAGGTATATTTAAAACCAAAACAGTATCAATAATTGAACAGATACATACAATGTATACAGCACATACAATCAGTACAAGCAGCACCTGCAGGTATTAGAAAAATGTGCTCTCAAAAAGTCCAGCCAAAAAAATGGCTTCAGTGTTACAGCGTCTTTGGAATGCGTCAAAAAAGGGAAAATAAATCATTATTTGGATTACACTTTTAACCAGTTTTCAAACATGCGCAACTTGACAGAATATTCAGCATATTGAATATGGGCAGTACAATGTATATGGAAGAAGTTCATGGGTGTATTCATGGCCCTAGCTAACGAGAACCATGGATTTTTAAAGCTCTACAGATGCTATAACTTATTGAAAAAAATAATGTTTTAAATATACCGGTATATATATATATATGGAAAAAAAAGAAAGAAAACCATTCAAAAACCCTACACTCTATATATTTAGAATAAAAAAAAAATAAAAAACACCATACAAAAAAGTCATATTTATAATATATGAATTTTTATGCTATAAATTACTATTCCAAATGTTCCATGCAATTATCATGATTATATTCAGGACTGGGATTAATATAACATAATTATATTATGCCCCTTTCAGTCATAAAATTGTACTCTGTACTCAAAGTACCAAAGTGAGTACACAATTTGTCCTTGATAAACCAGATCTAGCATTTTGACTGATTTCTGATTATATGACTGCGAGAAAGATCAATCTTGGACATAAGTTTTAGTCAGTTATCTTCCTTCTAGGATCAACCATTGAAGAACTGAAATTATTGTCGAAGGATTAGCAGTCAGCACACATGTAGGAACTTCAGCCCTTCTATTAACACTTATACAAATTTATTTTTAGGCAGTTAAGCTGCCTTATGCTAGCACCCTAGATTTGTGTTCTTCCTAACGAATGCTGAAAAAAGTGCCATTGTTGTAATCTAGCAGGCTAATATGTTATTTATAACTAATTGGACATTTTTTTCATTCTTTTAATTCTGGAATACAAAAAATATGATCAGAATAACCTTAAATGATCGTCGAACGACGCATAATATTTGAAGTTGCACATAGGAAATAGTGCTCAATAGAAATCCGTACGTAGTTTATCATCCCCTGTGCTTTTGGCTAAGATGGCAAAGAACAATTGTATGAAATATTTCATCGCCGAAAATCTGTAATTACAAGTCGTTTATATTTCCCAAATGGCAAAATGCGCAGGAATATTGTTCATGTACACCAAATCTCTATGATAGAGGGAATAAAGTTATATATAGTACACATGTAGTCTAAGTTGGCGGTAATTTTAACTTACACGAAACCGGCGTTAGTTCGTTTGATTCTGATGATATAAAGTCCGATTAAGCGAAAGTACTCTTAATCATGATATTCTTTTAGTTTATGAAGATTGTGATTATTTAATTGATTTCAATTAAATGTATGCACATTTAAATTCCTTTCTTTTATTAAATTATTTCGTTTATCACTGAACTTGTTGTTATTTTATGAATGAAAAACCGGAAATCGACGTAATCAATGTCGACCAATCAGGTCGATGTTTTAAGAAATGCGGAATAACTCGTCCCAGAGACAAGTCGGACCGAGTCCACTCAGACCGTCTAAGAAAACAACTCGGACCCCTTGTCAGATTAACTTAGGGTTTCATAAAATGTAAGACTAACATGTCTAGCGGAGCCATCAATCTTTCGTTTGTGCATTGGGAACTATTTAGGGGTATTTTGAGGGGCCTAAAGAAGGGAGGGGTTTACTATAGAACCCTATGGGATTTTATTTTCAAATGACTATTTATACTCGAAAACAGTAAGTGATAGACACGCGTGGTCTTCAGTAATGAGAACAGGACAATGAAACAAATCAAATAAAATATAGGGTGAGTCCCTGGGGGTCATCCCACCCCCCTTCAATTTGAAAATGTTCTTTTATCTTGTAAACGGTCGCGATCCCCACCCCTAAACCATATATATACTTGTATGGGACAATAAAACAAATCAAATGAAAATTTGGGGGAATCCCTGGCGTCACCCCACCCCCTTCTGTTTCAGAACTTGTAAACGGTCGATATCCCCACCCCTAAACCATATATTTTCATGTATGGGACAATATAACAAATTAAATGTAATATAGGGGGAGTCCCTGGGGTCACCCCACCTCCTCCTGTTTGAAAACTTGGAAACGGTCGAGATCCCCACCCCTAAACCATATATATTAATATATGGGACAATATAACAAATCAAATGAAATATAGGGGGAGTCCCTGGGGTCACCCCACCCCCTCCTGTTTGAGAACTTGGAAACGGTCGAGATCCCCACCCCTAAACCATATATATTAATGTATGGGACAATATAACAAATCAAATGAAATATAGGGGGAGTCCCTGGGGTCACCCCACCCCCTATTGTTCGAGAACTTGTAAACGGTTGAAATCTCCACTCCTAAACCATATATATTCATGTATGGGACAATATAACAAATCAAATGAAATATAGGGGGAGTCCCTGGGGTCAACCCACCCCCTCCTGTTTGAGAACTTGTAAACGGTCCCCACTCCTAAACCATATTTATTCCTGTTTGTCATTTCAAAATAATTTGAATGATATACAGGGTCAATCTCCTAGGGGTCACATTATGTGACATATGCATATCACTTTACTAGACCAAACCAATGTGTACTGGACTTTGCCCAATGTCAGGCGACCATGGGAATGACGAATTATGGGAGCTTTGTTTGGGAGACTTCGTAACAGCATCCTGTTACAATTATTTCTTGTTTATTATAAAATTTTATTGATGCAAAAAATGAGTCTAGGTAAATTGAATTTACTTTGATTATTTTTTGAATTATTTCTGGGCCTAAAATTTTCATTTATGGCTCATTTTAAAGAAAACATATAAATCTTTCAAGCAGTGTAAAGCCCAAGAATGTTTGACCAATTGTTTTATTTGACCGGAGAACCTGAGATCACCCCCAGTTTTTGGTGGGGTTCGTGTTGCTTAGTCTTCAGTTTTCTATGTTGTGTCATCTTTACTATTATTTGTCTGTTTGTCTTTTTATTTTTGGCCATGGCGTTGTCAGTTTGTTTTCGATCTATGAGTTTGACTGTCCCTCGGGTATCTTTCGTCCCTCTTTTATAATCACCTGTCATTTTATTCCAAACTTGGTATGGAGTGATATCACGGACTTGGGGTGAAGGTGGGGGTCATTTACATTTACTATGGTCAGGGCAGTCAGACCTCACCTTTGATCCCTGTAGTAGTAAACATTTGTCTGATTTGTGTCTCATAACTTTTGTACTGTAGAACCCAAACTCAGTGTTCCTTCCAGGGAAGCAAGTCCATTCATACAATTACGTCAACTTGTACCACTAAAAGTCAACTGGTACCAACGTTAACTACCAACTAGAACACCTGCAATCATTGCGAACCTGTACCACTGCAGACTCACCATTAAAAATATACATTGATATATGCGTTGCTTTAGAAAACCTTGATAAAATATCAATTAATTTGCCTTAATAATCAATTCATTAAATGAACATAAATGTACAATATACGAATGTTTAATGTTTGTTCTTTCAAATCTAAAAAAAAAATTTGAAGCAACACTGCCACAGTTTTCATAATTACGTTTGCCTTGGTTTTTGGTTAACTGCCTGCAGCGCTTACAGTGCTTTGATTTTATTTATCAGACCTGGATGGTGTAACATTACAACTTCTAGTTCAGTAAGCTATCAGGAAGATTGTGGGTCATGGAAAACAGATACTTGTACTAGATATAGGTAAGTGTTCGTTTATCTCAGGTTAGCGTCTACAGCTACATATTATATTGACTCTAACAGCCTTCCTGCCCTCAAAATGATAAAAAAAAAATTGCTATACTCAGATGAAATGTTTGAAAATTTAACCATTGGAAAAACTGGAACTTATGGATATGATGGGTTGATCTATTTCAGTATGTTTTGAATATTGATATAGGTGAAGCTTGACCTAAGGTTTGAATTAGGCAGGGAATCTTTGGGCCACATCCCCCTTAAGATATCAATGTTTTGCAAACAAAATACTATGAAATGATTTTTATAATTCAACAAGATGTGTGCACAAAAAGAACCTATTTGTTTTAAAACTAAAACCAAAGTTTTAGTTTATTTCATTGTAGTTAGGTTAACATGTCTTGAACCATGTTAGATTTTACATCTAAATTGCTTATCTATACTATCTAGAACAACCTTAAAATTCACTGTATAAACATGATAAATGAATATAAAGGTTCAAACAAACAATTAGTACTTTATCAGTAGAATCCTTGTATCAAATTCAAGGTTATGTTGTTTTTTTAGTTAACCTATTTTTCCACTATTTCTGTTACAATATATATGATATATATCCTTTGTGGCTTTGAATTACTATTATAATGCATATTTATGATTTATTTAGGGAAATTAAATACAGAAAACATGTAATAAAAAAAAAGTATTTTAGTAGGGCCAAATTCCCCTGAATTTATTTTAAACCATGACCATTTCCAAAAAGTCATTCATTTTGAATAAATTTATCGTATCTCAGTTTCATTTGTGTAAAGACTATTTTGAAAATTTGAATACTAATTAGAAACACTTACAGATGGCAATTTTGGAAGATTTCAGAAAGATTGAAAAGGACATTTTTACCCAAAACCAAAATTCTATGAGCAATGATTGCTACATGTACTGTTTTTCTTATACAAATGGCATTTATTTTGGTAATGGATGTCTCTTTTAAAAAATTTCAAAAACATATACAAATTGCAATATCATGTCAAAATCAATGGCAATGTATACAGTAGCGCAGAAGAATATTTTGATTTTAAAGATATTTGTAAAATTGTTGAAAATTTTGTATCTATAATAATAATAGACTCTTTTTTTATCAAAATTTTGCTAGATAACCCATTCAAAAACCAATTTTCTGTCATAGTTGTCTTGTATATGTTTGGATTTGAATTTTGTAACACAAGGCATATTTTTTAAAGAATTTTTCTGAGCATGTAGAATTAAAAATGAAAAATGGCAATGATAGCATAAAAGAAACCTACAGTCAAAGAAAACAATCAATTTGGCATAACAATTGGATGAAGATGTCATAAACATTTCTTAGAAGGTTTAAGGTATTAGACCATAATCGAAATGACTGTAAAATATTTATAATTTTTATCTCGCCTGCTACAAAAGTTGTGAAAAGTGTGACATAGAGATGCTAATCTGATGGTCACAGCATAAATTATTTGTTTAAAGCATTATATTTGAAAAAGGTACAAATCCTGGATGCTTCATACCTTGTATACAGATGCCTTATGTCACAAGGTTCCCTTCTGTCATATATCCATTATCCTTGACCTTTATTTCATTGTTGAGTAACTACTTTGATAAATAGTTTGTTTTCATGATGAAATTTTCACTTATAATGAATAATAGGATAACTATATTTGGTAAATTTATGGAATTCTTGTAAGGTCTGCATGTCTGTCGGATAGGATTCGCCCGACCTTGACTTCAATTCATGGATTATACCCCCCCTCATCCAGCTGTAAATCTATTGTCAGGTGTCTATAAAAATAAGATCTGGTATTATTGCCAATGAGACAACTCTCCACCAGAGACCAAATTACATAGAAGTATACAACTATAGGTCACTGTACATGACCTTCAACAATGAGCAAAACCCATACCACACAGTTAGCTATAAAAGCCTCCAAATGACAAATGTAAATCAATTCAAACGAGAAAACTATACTAACCCATATGTTGATATTTCATGCAGATGACAAGGAAATAGATTATAAATGGAGAAAAGGACTATCTCAGATGTATGAACCATTTTCACTTTTACTAAATTATTTGATTTTAGGGTAGTCCATAACACAGTTACTCTTTGCTGTGATGGTTATTCAGGAGCAGATTGTGATGAATGTATGTATGTTATGTTACAGGAACAACTGTATATGCTATAAACCCACAGGCCAGGTTTAAATTAACCTATACTTATGGATACATCAAAGTCACTAAAATAAAAACAACCAAACAAAACGAAACAACACAATTCTACTATTGTCAGAAACAAAAAAAAAAGAGATATGTGAAATCTTTGAAAATGGAAAATTTGAAAATAGTCTGAAAATAAATTTATCCATCAACATATACATTTTTTATTCCCACGCCGTGGCGGAGGAGGCATTTAGTGTACCTTCTTCCGTATGTCCCAAAATTAATTTCAGTTCTCTAACTTAGTTTGTCTCAACCAAATGATATGAAACTTATACACAATGCTTATTAGCACAAAACACAGATCATGTTTGAATTTGGGTGGAGTCACTTTTATCGTTCTGGAGTTATGTTCCTTTATAATGTTGCATGCAAGCAGGGTCATCATCTGTGACCCATGGACACATTCTCCATTTATTTTGGCTAATTCTTAGCTGAATTAAACTTTCCTTGACTTGTTGATTATTTTTTTATAATCAACCTGTGGTTTGTTTGATCTCAGTTCTTCATTGGTCAAAATTCAATTATGATGTCAAATGTGGATCGTGTTAGCGTTCCAACCTTGAGCTTGGGAGGTTGTAGGTTCATACCTCAGCTGAGTCAAACCAAATGAATGAAAATTGGTATTTGCTTCTCCCCTAAGCATGCAGCATTTAAGCTTCAGAGCAAAGACTGGTTGGTCCTGAGTCAGAATACTGTCCCAGTAGACAGCTGACTGTTACCTTTTGATCTAGTAAGATTAAAATCAATCTCAGCATGTCTGTCTAGTACAAAGCTGGGTATATATTCATATCACATTGTTATGTTTTCATCCTAAATATGCATTTAATTTGCCACTGGGCATTAAATTGCCATCCATCCATCAATTATGATGTCAAATTATCTTGCTCTCCGCTGAATTTGCATTTGTGAAGTCACATAGATTGACTAGAATTTTTTGCCGAGCATTGAACAGAAAGATCAGGATTGTCTACGTATTGTCTAAAATCATTAGTGAAACAGATTTAACCACCTTACACCTTTGTTATACAGCTCATGATTTGTTCAAGTTTCTTTTATGTTTTATTATTTATTGAGTTATTACATCTAACAAATAAAAATTAATCCACAGTATTAAAGTTGCTTTAGACAGGAAATGTTTTTTTCTCAAATGCATTTGATAAAAACTGGAGATTTATTTGTCAAAAAAAACCTGAAAGATTATGCATTTACTATGAAATCTGACGATCATGGAAGAAATTTATCCCTGAAGTATTTCAATCATATATACGACATAATAGCAGATTTATGTACACTGTGAAGTGTAAATGGTCAATAAATGATTATCTTTTATTTCACAGTCACCTGTGATGAAAAAACTGGCACAGATGCTTGTTCACTAGTTTATGCCGATCCCATCATTATATGGCCTAATGAAAAGACTGTAAGTATATAAGTATATAAACTTCAACTAAAAAAACAAAGAAACATGTATGCATTTGTCACAGTACATATTGGAATTCAGTAGGATTCAGAATCCTTTAAGTGCAAATCGGATTCCAATATCTACTAGTAGAAATTGGAATTCTGATCTAATCTAATTAAAATTCAGTACAAATAAGAATTCCAACATATACTGATAGGAATTGGGATATCCAGATTTTTACCTGGAGGATCCTGGATTGTACTAGATAATTACAAAAAAAGACAGAATAAAAGAAATATTTTGATTTCCTTTATAATGAAATAAACTGATATAATCAAACATATTGAAATCAAAAAAGTAAGGCCTAAATTAAAATATTGTTTGGTTGCCCTTTACTGACCGACCCAATAAATTTGTTCCGACTGAAAATCTTTTATTTGTATTTTCAGGCAATTTTTTTCTTTTTAAATTGATTATTCGTTCCTACCGAAAATTTTATATTTGTATTTACCGCTCCAAACTTTTTTACCAAAATCCTCTGGTTTTATCTAGTATCAAGGGAGTGTTTGCAGCATTGGTTTGAAATCAACGTTGAAAGGTTAGAACGCATGACGAACGTTGCCCTGTGTGTCTCAATACTTGAAGAGCAGGGTTCATTCAAGTCCAAAACAAAATTATCAACTTTTGTACAAAGGAAATTTGGGAAGGTAATGTAGGGGCTGCTTTTGGTGATCCCGAAATCCCGGACTTAAATTTGTCATTTCACAAGCTTATATTTTTCCCATCTCCCCCACCTCAAAATGTCTAGATCCCGAATCCATGTTTAATAGTTTTACCCCTATTTCACGAATTCCTGGACCTAAAAATGGTCAATTCCAGAGTCCCAATAAATGGCCTACCCCTCGCCAGTCCTCCTCCACCTCTCAGGCCAGTTCTGTTCTTGTCAAATTTTAGTCAATTCTGGAGATATATTTCCCATGAAAGGTGATTCACAATAACTATATTTCCAAATCAAATTAAAAAAGAACAACTTCCAGTAACTTGACATATTATTTATATACCAATTCATGAAACAAAGGCCTATAAAGTGGAGATTAATTGGCAGTAAAATCGCCAAGTTTTTCCATACAGACCATTTATAAATGTCATGTAAAATACAAGTTTCAAATCTTGTAGAATTTTTATATGGAACAGACCCAGGATACTTCTAAACACTCTAGAATTAACCGGCTCTCAATGGGTTGAAAGAAAAATAAGACAAATGCTTAGTATTAGCTCTTCCAACTTGTTGCAAGACGTTGATGGGGAATGCACTGCTTGGCAGTGGCTTTATATTCTAGTCAAATATTGAGATTCTTTTGATTTCACAGTTATGCCTCAGGTAATTGTTAGTATGTGAATATATAATGTTTTCATTTCTGACAGGGATTGAAAAATCATTCTGTATATTATTTCAGTCTACCAATAATATTGAAAGATTATGATAAACAATAAGTTATTGAAATCTAAAATGTATATATGAATTTATAATTAGTGAATCTTGCAATGCCTTTCTCTTTTTGTTTACTTCAATCAAGAGCAGAATGATTCTTCATACCCCCTGTTTGGTCTGCAGCACTAGCTAGAACCCCCAGTTTCTATGTGCTTAGAGAGACTGCTTATTGATCCATTGTACTATTTTGCACTGTGACTCCCAACATGCAGATATGTTATAAACTAACTAGCGTTCTACAGTGATTGATTAAGGAACATGCATATACTACAGTGTGCATTTAAGCCGTGCAGGAATATGTGCATACATGTTTAACCCCGCCGCATTTTTACGCCTGTCCCAAGTCAGGAGCCTCTGGCCTTTGTTAGTCTTGTATCGTTTTTAAAGGCAGTGCTTTAATGCCTTTCTGGTTGCCGTGTTAATCTTTCTTTCCGCGATATCCAACTTATCTACGTGGGGGGTCATTAGGCTCCAAGTAGATCCGGAAAATGTTGATTCTCTCCTCTTCTTATTGTGATATAAAATATTTTTGGTTTCATTTCATTTACATTGGGAAATAGTGTTTTGTTAGTTTTAAAAACTTTTGATATTTTTGTATTTTACATTATAAGCAGTCAACCGATTGACAAACTAGAATTATTTGAATTCCGTGTGGAAAGAGGTCGGGTTAATTTCGAGTGTTATCTACAATCTAGATGTTTATAAATCATTTCAGTCGTTGATATAATAATTAAAGGTCGACTGAACATGAATTATATTATACAATTTAAAGCGCATTTCTGTTTATGCACGTGAACCCGTCTAACGTTATTGTTATTTCGCAGTTATATAAAGTAGCAAATTATCGTTCCTGGATAGGTGGCGCCATGGTAGCCGATCCTGTTCTTCAACTTCCGGTTTCTGCACTGTGCAACTATTACAGTTGCATTTTGAATTAACGATGCCAAGTACTTCTTGTTGTGTACCTAGATGTCATTTAAGAGGAGGACATGCATTTCCAAATGACTTAAAAAGAAGGAAAAGTTGGATCAACGCCTTGGCCCATACGCAGGTTGGACGAGAACACGATGAAATCGTGGAGTCCATCCCAATCAGCTGTTGTTTGCAAGGCACATTTTACTGAAAAAGACTATGTGCAGGAAACTATTCATGGTAAAACTCTATTTTCTTTTTAAAATATATAGTTATATATGTAATCGCCATGCGAATAAACCAAAGTCTGTTTACAACCGCAATTATTGTTTTAGAATAAAAGGGGGTGGTTAATTCCAATTATAGTTATCTCATACCATTGCAAACTCGTACCAATGTCAACTCGTACCACTAAAAACAAACTCGTACCATTGCAAACTCGTACCAACTTATTTAAATGCATTCAAATGGTGTTTAATGATGAATAAATATTTAAATTTCACTCAATACCTCATAAGTCTGTAAAAAGTATACAATTTGAAATCACAATGTCATTATGACCAATTTATAGCTGATTTTTCCTTGGCTAATTGGATTAAGAAAACTCAAGGATACGTGGCCTACTTCAATTCGTCCTAGTCCTACTCGGGTTGACTCGATGAATTGTTGGTTCCCTTAAAGCTTTCTGATAAACGGTCTAGGTGTATTAATGGGTTACCGAGCGACGGACAGACAGTCAGATGGAGAAAATTCAGTGTGATGTGCTGATGTATCAAACTCTCCCGTGTTAATGTACGCCCAGAAATCCTACATAACATGCATAAGTAACATTGATATGGTAAAGTGAATGTATATTTTTGTAATAAAAAACATGCAACTCCAGTACTGCCAAGTTTTCATGAAGCAAATGTGTGAGATTTGGCCAAAATGCCGAAATTAATTTCTGTTCTATTTATAAACATCACCGACAGTTAATATACACATGAACAAAATATTAGTTGATGCCAAAATACAGGCAAAAATAAATTCCCTTTGTCAGCCACTTTCTTCGGCTGTCAGATGTCAGTTATTTTGTATCATACTTTTCTTTGCTGGAGTGCTTGACGCCATTTTGAAACTAAAATAAACCTGCCCCAACCCAGGATTTTGAAAGCAGAGAAAACTGCGCACCTTATAATTAGCATGACTTTTATCCGATGAAAATCCAGACTAAAATAAGGCGTAGGTACTTTAATTCAGTCACGGAACCGTGGGTGTGTTCTAGTATATTTTTAATGGTACGAGTATGCAGTGGTACGAGTTCGCAAGGGAATGACTTTGCAGTGGTACGAGTTGACTTTTAGTGGTACGAGTTGACGTGGTACGAGTTTGCAATGGTACGAGTTAACTTGCTTCCGTTAATTCAAGACGTCATAATTTTTTGGATTACGATTCAATGTGATCTGTTTGAGATTTTTTGGTGCTTGCTACAATTATAATGATTTCTTACAAGAGGTATATCATACTGAGAATTATTTTAGCAGTAATTATGCTAATGTAGTAATGACAGGAATGCATAAGCTATGCCTCATAGACTTTCTTGAAAAATATCAATGACAATGTTAACAGGAACAAAACAATGACATGCTCTCATCTATATTATAGTTATTTAGGTACAAACAATGTATGTTTGTTGCATACGTCTCTCATTGTTTGTCCTTTGGATTTACATAACATACATTTTGATGTACATTGAATCAGGCTAACATAGTTTTATCCAGATTGTAATATATAAATCTAGTTAATATTTTGCCAGGTAGTACAAAGTATGCATTGCTAATGGAAGTTCATTTAATTATAAAAAAACTAATGTTTTATAACCTTTTTCAGGGCGCAAACCCACCATACAGAGACTTAAGTCTACTGCCATTCCCAGCCTATTTTCCTGGACCAAGCAAGAGACTGAATCGTCCGCAAAAAGAAAAATCAGGGCAGTTTCCTGTGAAAACAAAAGAACTAAACTTGATGAATATTGTAGTAGAAATCTAGAGGAAAGTTTTGATTGTAAAGTTGGTTTTCCTGAAGAAGTCATTCATACTGCAGACAGGATTTATGACTGTCCACCACCAACTCAGCCGAGCTAATGTTGAGCTTCACAGATGGAATTACGCAAACACCATCAATGCCTATATTTTCAGCAGAGAATTTTGAAATGAAGACACGTGACACAGCCACACACTTTTATACCGGTTTAGAGTTGTATACTAAATTTTTATTTGTTTTGACCACACTTGGTCCAGCAGCACATTGTTTGAGATACATAAATTTTCAAATTGATAGGGTGTCATTTGAAAATCAGTTTTTTTATGACTTTGATGAAATTGAGGCATTATACAACCAACTTTGAACTGTCTAGATTCTAGATTGAAACTAGTGTTAAGAATATTGTGTAAACATGGATTGTTTTTAAGCAGTTAAGCTGCTTTATGCGAGCACCCCAGATTTGTGTTCTACCCAATAAATGCTGAAATATGTGCCATTGTTATTATCTGGCTGGCTATTATGTTATTTATAACTAATTGAACACTTTTTTCATACTTTTTATTCTGGAATACAAAAAATATGACCAGAAAAA